ACATGTATTGTTGTGTGTGTGTTNTAATATATATATATATATATGTGTGTGTGTGTGTGTGTGTGTGTGTGTGTGTATTTGTGTGTGTGTGTATGTGTGTGTGTGTCTATTTGTTTGTTTTGTATTTTGTTTTGTGCCTTTGTGTATATTTTTCTGTATACGTACGCGAATTTAACTTAATCTACAGCAAATTGGACACTACTCGGCCCTTATATCATTGAGATATTCGAAAGTGACGTACGTACCTCGGTCACTTCGGTGCTGAGGGCACTGTACGTGAACTGCACATTCGTTCCAGCATCCTTTAGTGCCAAATGGTCACCAAACTCATCGCAGTTGAGCAGTGATTGAAGAGTGCCAGCCATTGTATATACAGCAACAAAAGTCTCTTATAATCCTTTACCTATCAATATGGTTGTGCGTCTCATCACTCATAGCATATAGCGCTACATACATACATATTTTCCAAAGTGTTGCCTTTTTCAGATAGAATACAAAATATGATAGGTCAAAATATATATGTAAATATAATGTCAAGTGTCAAATGTCAAGCAACAGAAAAACTAAAAAATGCAGATGTAGCCCTCCAAAGAAATACGCCACATGGAACTGCATCAAGCCATCAATCCGTAAATAGGAAGTTTTGTTTTGGAGGTGGATTGTATTAACATATTTTGTTTAATATGCCAGGGCACGAGAAGTTCTGGGCTTTGTATGCATTTGCGATAGCTTACTTTGTTAGACGTAGGTACATTACATCCCCTCCATTCTGCGATGAAAATCAACAACACTACCAGCATTATATACCCTTCATTTGGGTAGACATAAAAGTGGTAGATTCTTCCACTATTCATATCTGGTTTGCATCACACTTTTAACATTTTGTGCTCTTTATTTAAGTGTAAAAATGCGTTGCTGAAGCGCAGTAGCATGTCTGGCGCACGAGATATATCAAACTTTGGTCAATGACTATAGAATCATGTATTGGTAGTTTAGTTTGTATAGGTGTAAACTCCATTCAGAAGGTGAACAATACGGTTAATATGTGGTATTTGGGTGCGACTTGGTACATACAATATCTATCCTATTCGCGCTAAGCGTTTGCTGCACTGACGAAATTTGGAGTATTCATTTTCTAAAGATCTTTTACATAAGAAGACTTGGGTATAAGTATTAACAAATACCACACTGCAAAAAGAACGAAAATGGGATCGTTTGATCAAAAGCTATAGAACGGGGATTTATCACAGCATCTTGGCTGTGTGCATTCTATTTAGAACAAGCACTGCACAAGCATGTGTTGAAAAAAAAAATAGAAGAACGCAGCGAACAGTCAGGTTTTAAAATTTACGCTCGTTTGAAGGATTCACAGTGTTTTCTTATTTGTCTCCCGAACCGCACAAGCACAAGAAACAAACAAATATACAGATTCCACAACGGTATATATGAAGCGGTTTTGTTAAGGTGTCGAGAATTTCTATATTCAGGGGGATGGTTGGACCGCGTCAATCGGCTCGTAACATCGTTGACTCTTCAGGGCTTTCTCGCTCATTATGTATATGTACGCATACTGAATATATGTATATTTATATACGTATAAATATATATATATATATGGTGTGTGACATTGTGTGACACTGAGCCCATGTGACGCGTGACACAGTCCACGTGACGTTTGACACTGAGTCAGCGTGACGTGTGACGTTGTGTTCGCGAGTGGACTTGTGTGTATGATGGTGGGTTTTGGAATATGCATAATAAATATAGAACATTGGTAAAGTATGTCTTTAGTTTACAACATTCCAAGTTATTGTATGGATATGAGGATTTAATTTTACTTATAAGGAAGACTGAAAACCGTAAAATAGCGTATAGTATATATATGATGGCGATGGTTTTCAGAAGGTATGGTCGCCTTAGCGTCCATAGCGAACTAATCTGTTGCAGGCGCCATAAGACTGACGTATATAAGCAGATACGGTGAAGTAATCAGACTTCATAGTTTCTAGGTGCTATTACACTACTACAATACCGGTTAAGATATATGTCTGTATATTATATTATATATATAATATTATATATATATATTATATTATATGTATACATATAAATATATATATGTGTGTGTGTGTATATACATATATAAATATATATATATATATATTAAAGTTAGTGCATGTACATATATTCATATAAACAACAAAAATCATCATACATTTATATATATATATTCAAAAGACGTACACAAGCACAGATAATCACGCTTAAACACTAAAAGGCTGAAGCTAGTGTTGACAGCTCAAAAGCACAACCAACCGTCACCGACCTGAATATTGAGAACAAATATATACCACTGCAACTAGTTTTTGATAAAAAGTATGCTGACATTTCAAAACACGTGATATCATAAACTCATTAAAATCGAGATCCAAACTTTTACCTAGATTCTTTTTTATTTTGTGGTTGTGTGCTATGTACATTGTAGCACAAGCGGAGCAATGAGCCACAAGATCTATATACAACTGGCCCTCAGGACTCAAGTGCCTGATGTATGATCGAGTCGTTTTCCCTTAGCTGAGAGTAGGAGTCAAATACGGATGTGTCAAACGAGATATCACTTCCTGGGATGCGAATCAAGCAGATACACACCTTATATTTGCCCTTTTCCTACAGTTTCAACAATCTATGACCGGTTATCAGCCTTGTTGGCCTCTGCCTCGGCATTGTTGGTGGCGTTCTTTACTGACGCCTTGGCGTCCTCAAAGGCATCTCCGATGCTGTTCGCAGTGTCGTTTCCAGTATTGGCAGCCTTCTCACCCTTGTATTCAGCTTTCTGGGCGGTACGGTCAATTCCATCAGCGGCCTTCTGGGCAGTCGATTTCTCTCCGTATACAGCTTGGCTAACGGTGTCGCTGACAGAGTTCATGGCGCTGGTGGCAGCCTCCTTCATGTCGGTTAGAGTGTTAGAATTGGCGGCGTTAGAAGACATTTTAAAGATATTTGTTGTTGGGAGTTGTTCTTTGTATTTATATCAGAGAAGAATACATTTCTACATACCTGTGGGTCTCTATTTATACTCAAATGTCGACCGGTGCTTTACGGTTTCACCGCTGTTGGCAATTGTGGAAAACGACTTCTCAGAGAAGGAGGCGTACAAAAACTCTCAAAACAGAGGCATTTTGCCATCACATGTTCACAAGAGTATTCTTAGCCATAAACAGATGCAAACAGGTTTGTCTACGCGAAATATCTCTACAATCTACAATTCATGTGTATTTATCTAATATCCTGATTACTTTCCTAATATACATTCGTTTTCTATTTCAGATTGATTGATTGGCTAGACTCTATCACAACATGAAGAAAAGTATATATGTGAAGGCAGGCCTGAGCCCTGGGGCCTGCGCGGCTGTGCCAGGCTGCTGCCTGCCAGCAGTCAGTCGAGTCACGGAGTCAGGCTACTCCGGCTCAGGCCTAAGGCTCAGGCCTCCAGCCCAGGGCCTCCGCTCCTCCAGGCCTCCGAGAGGCTCAGGCCGCTCAGCTGCTCATCCCATCCTGCGATTTTAAACTTAAAGAACTTTCGCATTCCATGCGGTTCATTAGTACAACAATGGCGAATTATAATGCGCAAAACTGAACAAGATAACAATTTTACATTTACTTTTAGAATAAGGTCTTTTGATTGAATTAAAGAACCTTTTCAACATCGCAACCTACTCTGGTATTTTAGCTTCTCAGAGTCTCGGACTCACATAGACACCGGTCACAAAGTCACAAGCAGGGAAACTGTCAAACAGTGAACAAGTATGTCTGTAAATACCTATCATAGGCTATGTATAAAACAAAATGTAATAAAAATAGTTCACAGATGACAGAACTTTAGATGTTTAGATCGGACCAATCACAAACATACATTTGAGATATAGATTCTGTCACCATTATCGATAAAAAAAATGTATTTTTTATAACTCGTTTGTTTTCTTTTTTTTTTAAACCAAACAAATATGTTTCTAAATTTTTATACGAAATTGGGTCTTCGTCTCTGCTCTCAATGACAAAAACAAATTTGCGATTGTCGTAAATAGATGGAACTTGATCCAAATCACCCAATTAGTCACTCTCCTCAAGCCTCAAGCCTCAAGCCTCAAGCGAGAGAGAGATTAAAAAAAACTATATAAAAAAGTTTTTTTAATAATATATATATTGAACAAACAAAACAAAAAAGTATGTACGCAAAGTCGCAAACTTCATGGCCCCCTCTCTCTCTACTAAATAGAGAGAAATTGTCGCTGATTCTTAAAAATGCATTCACCCCACACAACAAGAGACAACGTGCAAATCTTTGTGTGTGTGTGAATACTGAATACATAGCCGGGAGGCGGCGCTGCCGACAAAATATTTAGAGGTACTGATTAGTGATCACTGAATCTTCAGACTTCAAAAACTCTCTCTCCCCAGCGAGTGAGGGTCTTAAAAGACAACCAGAGTCTCAACTGCTCGGAGCGGAAACTATTCAATCAAGTTTATCTCTGCTATGTATGTACAAAAATAGACAATATTTAGTAGTACTAAATATGTAAGATGTACGCGGCACGGCGGCAGTCGTTTATTTTTAGAGGGTCAGACTCACATACAATTTTTATTTACATGCATACATTATTCGGCACCTATGACCAAATCCCAACTCCCAACTCCCAACTCCCAACCCATTCCCATGCCCCTTTGCAAGTGATGTTTTTGGTTGTTGAATTTTCTAAAAAAAATGCGTACTATCAAATATCACAATATCTGCATAACCTTCTAAAGTAGAACAGGCTATGTATGATATCTGCTTTTACAATTTACATCACACAAATATTGTGGTTCATATGCCAACATGACAGGTAAGACTAATTGCCTGGCCGCAACCGACAACTTGTGGCACTGAATTTCAGACCAGTGCTGAGTATGTATCCAATGGTCGTAGCCTTCCATTTTGAGCTATGTCTGCCAGACTGCTACCATATTGTGGCACTCCCCAGCTGCCGGGGCCCAGCTGGGGACCTGGGGTAAAAAAAACGGTCACTTTATCAGCATATCTGCACCTTTCATGATTTATCAAAGCACATATAATCATAGCCTTTGTTTGATTTCAGAAGGCTATGATATAATGGCTCATTGCTTTTTATTTTTTATTTATCCTTATCCCATAGCCTCCCCTAAAGAACACTTATCCGACCTCCGAGTACAGAACCTGCAATATCTATTTATTTTACACTTTGAGAATTTTCCGAGCTTCAATGACATTTACTTGATATTAATGATTTATAGACCGTGTTCCAAACAACTGGCTCAATTATTTGTGTTTTTTGGTCGGCTGGGCTTTTTCAATCACGACATATAAATCAACTATCACACAACATGACAACGGCAGACTCGGTTATTTTGAGAATATATTCCCTATTTGTGCATCATAGAGAATGTTATTTTATTCGGTGCTCTCTGTAAGGATCCTCATAAAAGCATTTTCATATCGCTACCTGTCATCGAGCCGATTACCTGTATGTATACTGCTAAATCCGGCCCTCACAAATAAGCTGAACGTAGATGTATGCAATATAGTACACGTTTAACGTCTTCAGTAATTCAGATTGATCGAGAACATATTTGCTAGAGTAGTTGTCGCTCTGTTGTCTAAAAGACTCTTTGCTTTCTAAAAAACAAATACAAAAAATATTGTAAAAATAAACAAAATTAATCTTTTAACGACTGTACACTGTACAATGTACAGTTCTAACTTCCACGTTGCCCCCAGTAATGCCCACTGCAAACGCTGAATTAACTATGTCCAGTCTCTGATACGTTCTGGCGGCAACGTGTTGTTTGATATTCACTTTAGGTGAATGCCTTTTTCAGATGTGATATTGACTACCATCAGTGACTGTGTGGTTTTTTATGTACAGCCTCGGCCTTCGATATATTCTGCCGGCCATTAGGTGGTTTCTCTTAGATGTATGCTTATTCAGGTGTAATTTTTGACGACCGTCAGTGACAGATTCGGGATACCGCCTTGAAAATGTTACCATCCCTTGCGACTATAGCAAAGTTTATGTATAACCTTGTACCCGTTTTGAATGGAGGTTTTTGCGTTGACCATCTGCTATGTTGCTCAGGATCGACAGTAAAGTCTGATGTTGAGATGAGACAGACGCCACCTCTATCTGACAAATTGATAGTTGGCTATGCCAGCTGGAAACAATGCGACGATTATATAATCACAGCGGTTGAGAATGGGATAAACGTAGTAGTATGGTTCAGCATCAATCTAGCCGTATGCGAAGGTGAGCAAACTATCACAGGCGCAGTTCCCGATCTGGACTGTGTGGCACGAACCGTAGCGACACTCCGAGCACGTGGCTATGATGACGTGGTGCATATGATTTCTGTAGGAGGGTGGAATTCGCCTCTTCCCGATACAACGTATAGCGGGCAGTCGTGGTTTAAGTACTTCCACAAATGGAATAACGAGGTGGTCGCAAGGCCGCAGATGGGTTGGCATGGCTTTGATGGCATTGACTGGGATCCTGAGGGCAGCAACGATGTATCTTTACCCAGCAACCACTTTACAGGTAGGTGTTATACGCATTGCTTTAGAGGATTCGGAATCGACATTGTGTCGCCTGACTAGGCTGTTGTAATCCTACACCTACACTGCATTGTATTGCATGCAACTCGGTCATAAAATTCTCAAATTAAACGCAATAACCATGCTTTCCACTCCCTCTCCATCAAAAGGATATGTGCCATTTATATAAGGAGGCTTATGCCTAGGCATTACTTATACATACGTTCATTAGCTCCATACACCATGTGTGCAAGTGATTTTTTGGAGTGCCTTCAGTAGTACACTCCACCCATTGTCTTACTGCTTGAATTTCAGTCCAACTTCGGCATTGGTTTAGCGTGCAACGCCGTCGAGTGGAAATTTTTGATGTACATGAGTCTCGATCTCGGATCCTTTTCCAGCTCTTGCTTCGGACTAGTATCATTTGCCGTTGTTTTTGCTCATGCACGTTGTTGACGCTTGCATTCATGAAAGCGAAGGCAAATACTACTTGAATTTCTAATTTGACCAAGTGCGAGAAAAAAACTATCATCACAACGACGCAATTATATAAGCTTGCTAGAAAGTACTCAAACAGATACCCAGCTAGTTGTAGTCTGATTGTATTGGGATGCTTTCAGAACACATTATTACATATGCGCGCTTTGCTTCTATCAAATGACTCTCGCTTTACCTGTGTAAACCTAATAAACTGTGTTGCCTCGAAAATCCGCATAGTGGCCCGGATGGACCTAATAGGTGAGATGTCGGTTGCAGCCAAGCGCGCAGGCTATTTGGTCTCCTTAGCGCCTGCACAGAGTTACCTTGATATGTCTATGCCCGATTTTGATCTGAATGTGGACCATGCACCTACCTACTGGATGCATGACTTCAAGTACCATGGCTTAAACACGTACGCGTACTGGTTGGCCAGATACGGCCACACAATACAGTTCTGCGGCGCCACCGTGGCTACGTTCGACTGGGTGGGTCTGCAGTTGTATGAAGGGTGGAGTCGTGCCAACTACGAGCTATCCCACGAAGGCAAGGACGTGACCCAATATCTAACTATGTTGATAACTGGCATGCGCGATGGTTGGGAAGTCCAATTCGAGAACGTTCCTGGCCTCGAGACTAAGGCGCAAACCATCAGCGTCACCCCTTCAAGGTTGCTAATCGGACTGGCCAATGGCTGGACCACCCCCTACACCACAACAGATCACGCCTCAGTCGATTCCAACGAGGGTGAACAAGAAACCGTACCAAAGTTCTTACTCTTGTTGCCAGAACAGTTAGAGAAAGCTTATCAAGCGATGCCAGTCGAAATACAACCACGTGGGTTTATGTTTTGGAACATTGCTGACGAGGGCGAAGTCATTAACCAGGCCACGGGTGAGCGATTGTTTATGGCAAAGGGTTTGAACAAGTTTCTACAGGTGCGAGAGAAAGAGGGTGTTTGAGATCGAGCAGTGCGGTGTCATCTTTTATTCCGTCGGCCTATCAAAGATTTGCTTCATAGGCTGTTCGTCAGAGATAGATGTCCGGTACTAGCACGTCGTGCAAGCTGCTGCATGTCCATTGTCGCGTATACACACTGTGTAATCATGAAGGTATGGCTCAACATTCCATGCGAAACTCAGACGACGTTCCGGAATCCCAAACAATGAGAGAAAACAAGTCTCCCAAAAACTCGTAAGTGTATTGAGCGGCCAAAGTGGCACTTACGCTAACAAAATTTTTGCTGAAAAGTAGTGGTCAAGCTGTAGGACACGGCGGTCAAGAGGGTGACATATACTTTGGAACCGTTTATATCTTAGACCACTACGACCCCGGGAAAATGCGTTCGACTGTGCAACTACAACAGTGTCAAGGCGATATCAGGCCCAATTAGAGTGTGTGCAGGCGTAGTGCGATTGCGGTTTGAAAGTTACTTAAAAGCTAAGAACACTCCGACTGCCTTCGGTGACTATAGAGGTGTCTAAATAGTCGCCTTAGCCAAGTCGCAAGTAGTGGCTTATAGGCGCAAAGACAGCGGTATTATAATAGTACACCACTGAAATCTCAACGAAGGTACAATGAATTTACTATCCTGCCATCTATAGCAAGTAGAGCATAGAAAGAATACTAGAAACATGGGGTTTTTTCTAATTGAATGTATGCACATTGAAATGTCATGTCTGGCGATGCGTCAGGGTGCAGCTTTCCATATTAATAAATAAACGTATGCTAAAATAGAATGTATTTATTGCCGTGAAAAAAAGGGTGAATTCCAATGTTTATTGCTGCATATGTACACATCACATAATCGCATCTGCACGTGCTAGCGTCCTTGCCCCTCTCAGTACACCGAGCGTATTTGCAACTTTGCAAGCCAGTAATTGAGTCTGGTAGGTAAATGTATACGTAAATGTATACATCCGCAATGTGCACAGGAAAAGGCACGCTCCCCCGTGCAGATGCGTGCGTCTACATCCGGAGAGACACCAAAACATGTGAGCACAATAGTTGAAAATTATCTAATCCAATGAATATTCAGTCCTACAGGATACACTCAGCAGTACTTGAAAGATAAAAAGGCGAATACACATGTACAAGTGTAAATATGATGTGTACACCTGTCGCTAAATATGTCACCTACGAGAACATGCATATATACACATATATGCACGAATATATCTTGTACGATCAGAAGTAGAACCGCTACATTATATATAAAAGTCTACTTAGTCAAGTCCACCACTTAAGATTTCGAGCCGAAGGGTGAATAGTTTGTATACCATGTATATATAAATATATATATATATATATATATATATATATATATATATATATATATATATACTATACTACTACACTACTAACTACTAACTTACTATAACTAACTACTAACTACTACTAC